GAAAACAAGCACAGGCCTTCAGACAACAGGCCGGACAGGTTGGCAGCGCCCGCGGTACAACCGCTCTCTGCTCTTTTGTTCATCAGGAGCTCTGGAATTGACTGCTGTACTCGGTTTTTTAAGCCCTGCCTATTTGCAAATCACTCATTGACCATCAATAGCTGCCCTTCAGGGAGGGAAAAGAATCTAGTGCAGTGTTCTTATCTTGGAGTCACTTCTTAAGATTAAACACTTTTCATTTAGAATCATAGAACCATAGAATGGTTTGGGTTGGAAGGGACCTTAAAGATCATCCAGTTCCAACCCCCCTGCCATCAGCAGGGACACCTTCCACTAGACCAGGCTGCTCAAAGCCTCAGCCAACCTGGCCTTAAACACTTCCAGGGAGGAGTATCCACAGCTTCTCTGGGCAACCTGTTCCACCCTCACAGTGAAGAATTTATTCCTAATATCTGATCTAAACCTACCCTCTTTCAGTTTAGAGCCATCACCCCTTTTTCTGTCATTAACTGCCCTTATGAAAAGTCCCTCCCCAGATTTCTTGTAGGCCCCTTCAGGTACTGGAAGGCTGCTTTAAGATCTCCCCTGAACCTTCTGTATGTCTTTAATTATCTTAATCGTTTTCTGTCCTATTTCATGCTTGCTTACTGCCATTTATTATGAAGCAGTAACTGCACAAGCCAATTAAACAGCATAACAAATTAAAAAGTTAAGTCTTAAAAGTCATCTGCCTTCGTATTTCTGAAGGCAGTGCAGGCCATCTTGAGAAGCTGTGTCTAAATATGTCAGCACATGTGTGGTGTGGTCACTTCTGAGGTCACTCACTCTATTCGTGCTGCTACTCACTGCCTCCGTTACCATTTCCCAACACAGGTAAACTTCAGTTTAGTGAAGGTAACTTACAGCACTGTCTAGATCTGAGCTATTTGTGCCACAGTGCTTGTAGTCCCTTTTATCAGTGGATGGGAGTTGTGGCCTGCAGCCAGGTTGATTGAATCTAGATTTCTATGTAGAATGAGATGGGTTGTGCCTTATAACTACCCATTTTTCTTTGCTGATAATGAGGGAAGACATTGATCAGTGGCTCAAGTTTCAATATCCAGAGTAAATGAAGTTAATTTCAGGAAGCATGTTTGAATAGGAGTACAAAGATGAAACTTTACAGATTACTTCATCAGTTTCAACCTAAATAAGCAATGCTTTTGTGTGTCTTCCAGTACTGAATTCAACAGGCATTCTTTCTCGTTCAGTTTGGATTCAGCTCTGGTTGAAGTTGTTCTGTTCCTGCACTAAAACTACTCTTTGTTTCTGCCAGTTCAACATTGTCAAAATAAAATTTTAAAATTATAAGAGAATCAGGATGGTCATACAACAGATTCAGTGTGGGGGGGGTGTGTGGTTATAGCTTTATTTTTCTGCTCCTCTGTCAGAGTTTGAGCACCATTTGCAGCCCTAGCACAGCACCAGAGCTTCTCACAAAGTGTGAAATGGCACGTGGGGATGAGAGCCTTAAGAAAGATGAAGCTTAGTATGTCTGACACCAGAGCAAATTTTTTCTGCTCCTCTGTCAGAGTTTGAGCACCATTTGCAGCCCTAGCACAGCACCAGAGCTTCCCACTAAGTGTGAAATGGCACATGGGGATGAGTCTTGAGAAAGACGAAGCTTAGTATGTCTGACACCAGAGCAAATTCATTGAAATAGAAAGCTGTAGACCCTCCCATGTTCTCCCTAATTCTCTGCATACATAGCACAGGTACAGAATCAAACAAATAAAAGTGAGGAAAAAGCTCAGATGGTGGGACTAACTGGGTATTTGTGGGATTATGGTGTTCTTTACCATGGAAGAGCAATAATTGAATATGGCCTGTGTTTTCTGCAAAGTTGGAAATCAATAGAAACAAGTGCTAAAAATCCTTGGAGGTTGGACAGATCTTTGCAGAGGGACCTGTACTGTTTGCTATGGATTTTTAATTTTCCTGAGTTGGTAACTGGGTTTCATCTAAAAAGAACTTTTAGTTTGAATTTCACAAAATCTTCAAAGTAGTGCAAGCTGATTTCTGAGCTGGGAGGAGGGAAGGAGTTGGAAGTGGGTTTGGTGCAGATGGATCCAGTTCCCTGACTTCCAGTGACTCTTTGTGCTGATCCTGGTAAATCTCCAGAGCGTTTCCAGATCTACTGAAAAAGCTCTGGTCTGTAGGATATGGTTTTGAGTTTGTACTGTAGGAAAATCAGCCATCAGGAGGACAGAAACTGGAAAACATATTTAATGTTTAGTGTAGTTGCCTACGTTAATCTGAATGTAGGCAGCTATTGTTGGCTAGGAAGGGATAAAGCTTTTTCTCCTGCAACAGTCTGAACCTGCCTGTGCTGTTAATGGGCTACATTAAAGTCGCTAAATACCAGTTTGCAAAGTCATAGCAAGTCTCTGTTTACCAGCTAAAAATTGTCAGGGTTTTTTTGTGCCTTTGTCTTCTCTACTAGGTCTGTTTTCACACAGAGAAACTCTTGGTGTTGTTCTAATTAATTAGCTGTACAATTGAATTATGTATTCTAAATTTTTGTCTCTTATATAGCTAATGAGTCTGCAATTGTGAAATATAAATACTTGTTAACTCATTTAATGGACTGAAAATAAGTGAGTAAATGAATAAAGTTGGTATATCACATACCATTTTCTGAAGGGCACCAGCTTGAAGTTATTGTAAGTCTAAGCTAGGTTACAGGCTACAGTGGTATGTTTCTATAGATACCTACATAAACTCTTTAAGAAAGAAAACAAAACCAAACTCCAAACCACACAGTCTCAAGGTGGAACTCACAAGTGGTGCTTAATTTTACAATGCTAATATTTTAATAGAACAGGACAAGGTTTTCACAGCCATTGTGAGACTATAAATGAATACAGTAAATAGCTCTCAAGCTGGGAATGGAGAAGATGCTGGGGGTTGTGCTGGGAAATGCACTGAAATGAAATTTTAATGTAGAGGGGTTGTTTTGTTTTGGTTTTTCTTCCCCCCCCTCCCCTTCTAGTTTTACAACACCAGAAGGCCCTGGACCCCTTTCCCGGTGTTCAGATTGGGGAACTGCAGTGGAGGAAGATGAAATGAGGACCAATGTTAACAAAGAAATTGCAAGGTATCCATGGGTGTTTCAGAAAGGAGGGGAAATGGTAGTTGTCTTTGAGAAGCTGTGTTGACTTTTATTTTTAACATCACCATTGTAGTAAAATCAGACCAACCTTAGATTCTTGTCTGCTGCTTTTAGGTCAGCTTTGGCTAAGTCTTGCAGGAATGACATAGCATACACTCTGGAGAACTGATGCATGTCACTAAATATCTCCATTTTGGGACAATCCTTTTCTAAATATCTTAGATTGAATTACTTTGTCCTTTCACGAATCACTGTTTTTGCCTATTATTGCTATAAAGATTTTTAGGGAAAAGACTTTAGAAAATAAAGTTCTCAGATTTATTTTTTTTTTTTTAGGGGAGAATTGAAATATCAGTTCCATAGTGGAAAGGTGTTTACATTGTCTGGGTTGACTTCTTCAAGACTGATGGTTAGCTGAAAAGTAAAATAAACCGTGAACTGTGTTAGTGCAGCCTTACATGTTTTTCCGTGTATATTCTTAATACGGATTTGAACTCTTGCAGATACAGAAGAAAACTCCTGATAAATGAATTTTCAAGAGAAAGGAAGTCTTCCTCTGGAAGGTGGGTTAAATTTCTAGCTTAGGTGAGGAAAATCCTGACAGTAGATCTGAATTTTCATATACACCATTGATGCTTCTGAAAACACTCAGTTTGAAGGAGTCCATCCTAAGTCTGCTCTAACGTGGTAGTTCAGTAACGTGATGTCACAAGCATTCATTTGAAGTTTTAGCATGTTTCTTTTTTTTTTCTATACATGTGTTCATTTGATTGTTGATTGTTTTCTAGTACTCCCAAATTTACAATGTTTTTTTCTTTAGTTCTGATTCAAAGGAGTCCACTGTAACAGTAGAACTTGAGACGGATGAAGTGGTTTTGATGAGAAGACAAAAACAGATAAACTATGGAAAAAACACAATTGCATACGATAGATACATTAAAGAAGTTCCTAGGTAAGCTGCTTAAGTCTCTGGAAAACTAAATTTCTGATTCTAAGTCATGCCTGTTCTCTATAAGCATATTGACTTACTAAACTTGGTATCTGACACATTCAAATAGAAGGCATCTACAAACTAAATTTTCTAAGGGTTTTTTTTTTTTTTAGTAGCTGGTACATGAAGAATATCCATTTTAAACTTTCTGAAGCTGCAGAAGTGAAAGTTCTTTTGGTTGTGCTTGTCAACTAGAGGAAATGAAACTGCTTTTTGCAGTCAGTTTTCTCATTAGTAAACAAAAATACAAAATGGACAACAGTTGCTCTTAAATTTTCAGTATGTTATATGCAGAAGTTTCATGTTTAAGTTTTCAAACTGAAGATTGATAATCCCTTTTTTTTTTTTCATTTGACTTGAAGACAGAGAAACTAAAATGTTTGTATGGAAGTGACTCGTATTGAGTGCTGGAACTGTGCACTTAGACTTATTACAACCCAGCAAATTCTGTGTAACAGGCAGTCTTACCATAAATCTATGTGATATGTCTCTGTGAAAAGCATTATTGAATTTCTCATGTCTATTATGTGAATAGATGCCATCGTATACCGGGAGTTCACCCCAGGACTCCAAATAAATTTAAGAAGTACAGCCGTAGGTCATGGGACCAGCAAATTAAACTATGGAAAGTTGCATTGCATTCCTGGGATCCACCAACTGAAGAAGGATGTGATCTGCAAGAAATGTATGTACACAGTATTCAAGATACCTTTATAGAAATTATTATGTAAAATCTCATGTTAAAAATCCAACAAAAAAAACCCAACAAAAAAAACCCCAGCATAGCCCTTTTTTGAGACAAGTCAGTGATTGCTGAATATTTTCATTAGTTACTTGTCCACACTTAGTGCTGTTCAATTCCTTCTTAGTTGAAATATGTAATAGCTTCTTAGACTTAGTTGGTGGGACTAGATTTACCCAGAGTCCTTGAAGGGCATTTATTATATCCCTTACTACTTTAACTTATGTCCACTGGGTGAAATCAGGGCTTGATCTGCAGTGCTCTATCATAGAAATAAATCATAGAATGGTTAGGATTGGGAGGGACCTTAAAGATCATCTAGTTCCAACGCCCCTGACATCAGCAGAGACACCTTCCACTAGACTATCGCACCATCAAAGCAGGCTGATTCTTTCAGAGCGGTCTGCAGGTTAATTTGTGGTAGAAGCAGTGCTGGAGAGTTCTTACTGATTGATGGATCTCATTAATATTGGGCTTGGATTGGTACAGTGCAGGAGAACCTGCCTCATAGCCTTCTCACTTGCTAGAACAGTGGTATAAATTCTTGTTTGTTGAACAGAGAAGAGGAAAGAAATACTTGTAAAATCATCTCAAGGTACCATAAAATTAAAAGCATGGCCACAAGCATTCACAGTCCAAGCTACTGTGTTGTTCTGCTCCAGAAGATGTAGAATAATGCAGCTAGTTACTTTCCTCTGTAGAAAGCCATAAAGCTGATCTGGGAACATCCAAAATAAAAATGTGGGACTACAGATTGAAGGGACACAGATGTAACAAATTCCTCAGGAAACAGTTTTGTGGGAATAAACTACTGTTTTTCCCTAACAGTGATACTGATTTTTAAATCCAATACTCAGCAATGAGATCTAAAAGCAAAGGCTTACTTTTAGCTTTTTTTTTACTTGCAATCAGCGTAAAAGGAGTTGGTATTTCAGCCTGTAGCCTATTGTGTACTTTGGTGCTGAAATACTAGCCTGTCTTTAGGTGCTGGAGGCTAGATCTGCATATAGTGGATACTGGGTCTTAATGTTGCAAAACAAATTGATGAAAACCTAGTCTGGAAAAAAAAATTCCTCGCTCTTCTACATTTGTCCTGATTTATATTGAGGTATTGTTTGAGTATTGGGTATTTCACAAGTTGCTGAGTTTGCCACCCTGTCCCTATAATCTCTGTAGGTCTCTTTGCTCTTGTTTGGCTATAATTTTCAGAACTGCACCTACAAAATGCAACTTACTACTAAAAAACTGAATTTGTTTTAAGCTGTATGCTTTTTAATTATTTTACAGTAGTCCTGTTGACCTTGGTGAGATGGAGACAGAATCTGTTGGAAGCAATTCTACTGAATCTCAAACGAGCTGTCAAGATAATGACGTAAGCATATCTGTCATGTCCATAAATATTTGTTAATAATTGGTCTGTCACTTAGAATTATATCCAAAGTAGCCTGAATACATGAGGAATTCCACAATCTGCTGTGTTTAGAGACTGTTCATAAATCTGGGCAATCTAAATTCGGACATCTTCCGAGCTATAGCCAATATCTGTCCGTAGTCTGAGTTTAGAGAGTTAGAACTCAAACAACAGATACATCATTTTTCATTGCCTGCAAAAGAAGTTTTGGGGTTTTTTTGTTCAAGGCATGTCAGTTATGAACTATAAGGTACAGTGGAAATGCTACTTTAGGTTGCAGTATCTGTGTTAAAATAGGAGGTAATTTTTTTTGGCACACTCGGACTTTCTGAAGTATATCCAGGAAGCATTTAGTACAGCTGAGCAGTAACCTTCACTAAAGAGCTAGTAATGTTTTTCTTACTGGATGTGTTTCTCTGGTGAATATTGAATCTGTATGTTTTAATGTAAGCATACATAGATCCTTAAAACATTTGCAAGAAAACTTAGAATGTGGTTGAAAGGTCAGGAGCCTCAATTTAAATTTCTTCAGTTGTAAAACTAGCCTTGGGTTTTTGTAAGGCCTTTAAAGTGTTTGTAACCCTTTGTCACATGGTGATCTATATGAATTGCAGAAGTGAAATGAATTATTGCATAACTAAACCTGTATTTAACTGCTAATTATTAACTGACTTTGTATTCCAGGATACCTGTTCTGGCACTCCCACCAAAATTAGACATGTTGACTATCAAGCAGAAGGTGATTTTGACTTGGAAGTGTGTTTGAGTGAACCTCTTAAAGATTTTGATACTGTGAGTTAAATAGTCTTGTGCAAACTGTTTTAGAGGAAGTTTCTTTTAAATTTGAGAAGTTAGCTTGATTCATAAACTGTTAATAGCAAGAAAGCTTAAGCAAAGTTGAAGACTGTTCTTGAAGTTGTGGTTGGTCTACATATTCTCTGGACCAAACTTATGTAAAAATACAATTGTGTGACTTCTTTTTAACTTTTAATTTATGTATATCAGATTTTTTTTATAAAACGTTTCAGCAGAAAAAGTAGCCAGAGGTAGTGCTATCCTCAAATAATTATAAATCGTTCAGCAAGGTCTTGCTGATTTCCCCACTCTCTGCCAGCATTGTGTCCATAATTTCAGTTGTCCACCTGCAGATCAAGAGCAAAGTAGGGAGACATTTTTGAGCATCTGTATGTTACCTTGCTTTTCCATCCAGCCCTTCTACAAAGATCTGACTTGAAGTGATACAAGTGGTAGCTAAACCATACTGCCAATGAGTACTAGTAAACTAATCTACTGCAGTTACTTACGGTAAAATTAACTGCCTTATCTTTTTTTTAAAACAAAAATTCTTTATTTGCAAAAAAAAAAAAAGTTTTAGAAACAATTGGATATATTAAATACTCAAAAGAAATTGGAGGTCAATATGGTAAAGCCTAGGCAATAAAGCTTTAAGAAGCAGTAGCCTGAATTTGAAATTTGTAAATAGTCATGAGTCATTTGTTAATACAGTCAGTAAAACAATGTCTAAGGAACATGCTTGATTCTTTTTCATTTTCTGTTTTTAAATGTGAAACTGTTGTAAATGATAACCCTGTACAGGTTTTCTGCTGAAAGCAGTTAATGTTTCTATTGCTTTTGTATGGGATGTTGCTGGAAAATAAATGGAATTGCATTTACTTGTGACTCTTCAATTTCATTTCCTGCTAGTGATGTCTGGTGGATAACAAAATGCAGGAAAATAATGAAAGCCATGTATCTGAGACTGATATTGCTACTCAGCTAGGAGATGTGTGTGTTAGCACCATCCTCTGACTTTGAGGGAGACCTTAAAAACTATTTATTTGTGTGCAAGCCACTGGAGTGAATTTAAGGTTTAGCTATAATGAGTAAGCCTGTTGTTGAGCTTTTGTAGACTCCTTAGAAACAGTTTAGTTTAGAAGATGTCCATTAGCTCGTTACCAAGTTCTCTTCTGGCAGTTTTTCCTAGAGAACAGCTACGTGGACACTTCAGTCTTGTTTACTACACAGGACCTGATGTTAAAGTAACCTCATTTGGTTTTATCTCTAAACTGGAATTTCTGGGTGTTGATGTTCCACTCCACAGGCTCAATGGAGATACTTAAACCTTTCAGCTCAATCTGTACCCAAATATCAGAACAACCAGCAGAATGATTTTTTAAGTTTTTCTCCACTGCTGTAGCTAGCCAAACAGGTTGGATCAGTGGAATATTCAGAAGATTGTGTAGAGGCTTCCAAAGGCTAAGGTTGCCTACACCTGGTTTCAGTATAAGAATATTGAACCCAATAATTATCCACTGAGATACCTAGAGGACATGAATGTATTTCAGAGCTTATTGTACAAAAATTTGTTACTCTACTAGTCTGAAAAATGTCCATGTCTCTGAAAGTCAATTTTTATTAAGTGTTTTCCATAACTTCACAAAAAGTATTAATTCAAGAAAGCATCTAGGTATGGTATCTGAGACTGTTAACATGGTTCTTAGTGAGAAGATAATAAATGAACAAATACTATTAAAACAATAAAAAAACCAAACAAAACAACCCCAGTCTTTTTGAGTAATTTGAGTTCTCTGTGACAGTCCTTATGATTTTGTGATGTATGTTCTTTGGAATCTGTATTACAGGAGAAAATGTAGGAGTCTTTCTCTGACTAAAAGATTCAGGTATGGGGGAATGTGGGGAAAATTGTGGAGAGCTCCAATATTTGCGCAAAGTAGAAAGATAACTAGGCAAACAACTGAGACTAGTACCCTTCTGTTACAGTGGAACCTACAACAAATACTTCTCCTTTGGCCAGTGTCTTGACGCTTTAACATTTCTTCAGAGTAATCTCTCAGTGGTTAGTCCGTAAACTTTAACATAATTGGAGGCAAATCTAACTAACCTGTTGCCACTCAGCCAAGTTTTTCATCACAGGCCTTGGGGTATGGTCCTCTTGCTCTCAGCGCTGCCTAGAACCTGCCCTCTGAGCATTGCACTTGCACACACACCTGTCTGCCCACTTGAGATCAGTGTTCCTTTTCCCTGTGCTGCACTCAGTTCCATCTGTGTTCCATCCTTTCATCTTTCAGATCTATGCTCTGTCGCTTCTGCTTCAGAGTGTAAGGTCCTGTGTTACTGTTCCTTTTTCTGTGCTAATTTATCCCTTGTTTGCTTTTCCTCTAATAGTGTTCCAGCAAATGTAATTCTGCTGACTTTGTTAAAAGCAAACCTTAGGCGCTCTTCAGCTCTGGGCTGTACAGCACACGTGCTCACCCAGGAACTAGGTATGTGTTGGTAAAACATTTCAGTCTAGAAATGTAGCTGGTCTGTGTTCAGAAGCTGTGTGTGTAACAGGCTCAGATTTTCAAATTTAGTCTGAAACAGCTGGGCATCCAGAGTAGCATCTTTAATCCTTTTAATCTTACAAATTATTCCCCTTTGATTCAGCTACTTAGAGAACTTAGTTTTTATGGATTGCATTTAAAGGGAGCACTTATATTATCTGAGTTCAGATGTTTTTTCATAAGTGCTGAACACTGAATTGGAAAACAATTTTTTTAATTATTATTATTTTTGCAATAAAGCCCTCTCGTGGTTAAATGTGGGATAACCTCGTCCATTTAGGTTCGTGCTTGGTAACAGATGAATCTTATGGAATAGTAATATCGATGTGTTCAGTTGTGCGCAGGTGCATGCAGTGGAGTTTGCTTCAGATGGAGAATTGGCAAGTGGCACTGTCAAACTTTAGACTTATTAGGTTAAATTCCTTTAAAAAGAAAAATGAACAGGTTGTTATGTAGGCAGCAGAACCTGTCAACCCTGCTTTTAATAGATTTGTGCCTTCTGTTTTATGTTTCTCTTACTCCCTTCACACCAAGTCTTGTCCTCTTTCAGCATCCTTCATGCCATGCCTGGCTGACTGACAGTAGTTTTCACTATGGCTAATTTAAAGCTCCATCTGTTTTGACTGGGTAGTTGGTCTACGTGTGCTGATAAGATGGCAAGCAGAATGTTTTAAGAGCTAAGCTGTCCCAGCTCGGGCATTAATCAGGTCTTCCTTCATTACTTTGCTGTTGTCACATAAAAATTAAAGGAATCTATGTACCTTTTTGTTAAATACTTGGAAAGCTGGTTCAAAAATTAGAGGGGGCAGGAGAGATGCTGCAAAAAAGACTTGACAATACAACTATTTAAGCCTCTTTAACGAAGCCAAGCTAAAACCATCTTTGTTCCATGAATCCATTTGTAAGTCAAAAAGGCCATTCAAACAACATTCTGTCCATGTGTGTATTTACTAACATTATTTTCAGGATTATCTGCTTTGTTTTGTTGCTAATGCAAGTAAAACCCCTGGTATAAAGGCAAGGCACACACAGAACAACTACACGTGTTCCAGTATGGATCTGTGTGGAAGCCTGGGCTGGTAAAAGAGCCCTTTTGAAATAATTTTGAACTTATTGGAAGTTCTTCTGTGTTTTCTTCTATATGGTTTCTCAAAATGTGAGAAGATTGGTTACTAATTTAAAAAAAATTAGTTTAAAAATATTGTTTAAAAATGACTTTTTGAGTGCTTACCGATAAATGGGGATAATTTTGGCAAAATATTGTATAGATAGTTAAGAGATTGAAGTTACATTGGTAAGTGTCAAAAAACCAATTTTATTTTCAAAGAAAACAGTATAGTTAGGAAGCAGTGTATATACTTATATGGGTTAGGAGAGAAAGTGGTATTGCTGAGCAGCGTTTATTCTATACATGTAGTATTTAATTCTGTGGCATCTGGGTAGTACCTGAATACAAAATGTGCAAGGAATCAACATCTAGCATCTGTCACTTCTGGCCCCTGCTGTATTTTTGGATTACCAGAGCTATGCACTCTTTGAGCTTGCCACTTACCTCTCTTGCATTGTGTTTAAGCACAAGAGCCAACTAATTTATCCAAAAAAGCCCTTATTCATGCACTTGAGAAATAGCTGAGTTTTAAATGGAAAGTTGGAACTTACTTGTGGGTTAAACTGAGGTTCAGCTGTCTATGCTGTGAGCTTTCTATCTATTGAAGTTTCTATTGAGAAAGTTCCTGGGAGGTACTGGAATGGCTCTAATTATTAGCAAAAACAATGTTCCCTTTTGTGTTTCTTTAGAAAGGAGCTATTCCGTTTCTTCTGAAAAATGCTTTGTTTTCAGAAATATGAGTGCAATACAGAGATGAAGATTTGCACCCGCTCTTTCAATCAGCTTTCATGTGTTAGAATCAAAGTCACTTTGCAGTACTGCAGAGGGCAGTAAAAGTGCATGTTTAATTACATGCACACAAAAGAGATCTCAGAGTTGCTTTACATTTGTTGTAAATGCCAGGAATCTAATTATACTTACTGATTCTGACCTTAGGAGCAACCCATAGTTCCAATAGAGCCCCTTCAAGTCTGTCATCTTTCACTGTTCTTTCCATTTCCAGTTTCACTTGATCTTAAGCCCATTATTACAGGGAATGGAAGATAATAGTAACTTAACAGCAGACAGAGAAAAAATGGACTTGGGGGGTGGGGGGGGAAAGTCCTCCTGACAGATAGTACTAGCCTACTTGCATTTAAAATCCTTAGTGCTATACAGTGGAAGTATCTGAAAATGCTAATTTCAATTGCTTGAAGATAATGTTTTGGGGTTTTTTTTAATTTGCAAAGAGTAGAGAAAACTAATTTTATTTTTTTTTTTCATGAGGGTTTGAGTTTTCCCAGGGAAATTAATTTCAGGATTTTATCCACAGTTAACTATTTTCAGGATATTCTGAACATTGAATCCATATTCTTAGATATTTATTAGAATGTGTATTTTCTATCTACTAAATTATC